TGCCGCTTCCGGAAAGTCGTTCCTCCCCTCCCAACAGCCAATGTGGCCTCGCAACGGCACTGGATCCACCGGTACCGGGTCTCGCCGGTGCCAATGTCCCGCCGAAGGGCTGGTCGTCCACGCACTGGACCAGGAACAAACGCGGTTCGTCAGGAAACAAAAAAAATTGCCGACCGCCTCCGCGAATGACGCGACCTGTAGGGTCCCACCCTCACATCTCAAGTCACCTCCGACGGCTTTCTAGAGATTTCCGTCGTTTTGCCTGGGCCGCCCTTATTTTTTAAGGGAGGACCCTACAGCCCCAAAATGTGGAAACACTCCGGAGTTCGTTTTCGTCGTGATTAGGGTGCTGTGGAACGATGATTTTGTAAGGATCCTTACATTTCAAGTGGTATGGAACGAGGCCCTTAGTCTAGAAAGCAGTCTAGATTCTAGAACGCTTTGCAGTGAAAAAGACTGCAATTAAAGTTAAATCCATCTTATCACAGTTGCATGGAAACTTGCACCTTTTTTTTTATAAATAATTTGGACCGTTTCTCGATTAATGCGTGCCATCGTTGTGCAGGGGCCATGCTAATCTTCTTTCTCGGATATATCGTTCCAATTTTAACGGATGTCCCAAAGGACACAGTCGCATTTATTTTTATTTTTATTTTCAATTTAGTCTTAGTCTAGAGACAGCTTCGAACAAAGTCTACCAATTGTCCAAAACAAAGTTTAGAATTCTTTTCAGTGAAAGTTTAGAATTCGTTTCAGTGAAAGTAGCTGTGATTACAGTTAAATACATAAAGTATGTCCACGTCCTTGCGTAATGAATGCCCTAATAGAATCACATTCTTTTCTTTAAGCCCGGAATGGCTGGAATAGGTAAGAGCAGAAGGGTGCCGCCAAGCAGAGGATTCGAGCACACATCTTCCCGCCCACCTGGATGAATGATAAACACATGTAGTCAAAAAAAAAAAAAAAAAAAAAAAAAAAAAAACCATGTAGCTGTCTGTGAACAAGTTGCGAGTTCAAATCTTGACCGAAACAGACGGATACATTAATGTCCCGAACTCGCCCCTTTGTCCCTGGGTTTTTTTTTTTTTTTTTTTTTTTTTTTTTTTTTTTTTTTTTTCCCCCCCACCGCTGGGCTATTTGGATAGTCTCATATACACAGCCTTAGGCACTGGGACCCAGTAATAAAGTTTTCATTTTCTTTATAAAAAAAAAAGGAAAAACAATGTTCAAAGAAAGCCAAAAAAGAATTTGGGGCTGAAAAGGCCACCCGATGTCAGATTAGACACAATATTGAATTAACCTGGGCTGGTTATACCTCAAGGCCATCGCCCTTTTTTTTTTTTTTTTTTTTTTTTTAAGAATTTGAGAGAAGAACATCGTGTAGTTAATTAAAAAAAAAACAAAAAAACTTCACGCACAGACGAACACAAAACCTCCTGATGAGTTGTGAAAGTTCAATGAAACAGTCTCTCTGGCACGGACTGCACAGTCATGCTTTTCTTTTTTTTTTTTTTTAGTCATGCTTTTCTTTGAGTAGTTGTGTATAGCGAATTTGACCACACACACACACACACACGCGCGCACACACACACACACACTCACACACACAAAAAAAAAAAAAGAGAAAAAAAAAAAAAAAAGCTGTGCATAGGGAATATGAAAACATGCATGCATTTCACAAGTAAAAACAGATGCATGCAGTTCACAAGAAAAAAAGACAAAAGAAGAAGAAGAAGAAGAAAAAAAAAAAGCACTTGCATCCACCAAGATACGCCACCTGCACAGACGAGGAGGAAGCAATGATGGACTTGGTGTTTTCTCTTTTTTTTCCCCTCCCACCTCTCAAAGAAGATGGCATGCAAAAAAAGAAGATGGCATGTCACGTGAAGATGCAGCATTTGGACAGCACGCAAAGATTCTCTTTCCAAGTTTCCAAGAAAACAACTTTTTGCACAAATGGACTTTCCTAGCCAGTCACTGAAAAGATGCTGGAAAAAAAAAGGATGCTTTCATTGCTTTTTTTCAAAATGTTTTTTTTTTTTTTTTTTTATGTTTTTTAAGATGCTGGATGAGATGTACTAATGAGTAATTCTTCGTTTAGAAAGGGGAAAGAAAAAAAAAGGAGGATGGTGATTAACACACACACGCACTTACACACACACACACACACACACACACACACACACACACACACACACATACGTAGATCTTCTTTCTTTCTTCCTCTTTTTTTTTTTTTTTTTTAAGCATAGATCATATATTAGAAAACAAAACAAAGCATGCTGCATGGCACGTTCCAAATGACAGCAGAAAAAAAATATTTTTCAAGGTTCATCCCCCTTCCTCGGGCTACCGTCTTCCCCAAGTAGAACATAAAAAAAAAAAAAAGTCATTTTCCCTCTATCTAGACTGAAAATTGCCCCCACCAACAGCTATAATAAGGATAGATCCCACTTGCTTGGATCCTGTGGTTATGGCCATTGATCCCCGATCGCCTCATTATCCACGTTCCGCAACAAGGAATTTTTTTTTTGTTTGTTTTGTTTTTTTTTGGGTTCCAGAACAGGGAATCTATAGATTGTAAAACTGACAAGACGTTAGAAAAAAAAAAAAAAAAAAGTTAAAAAAACTGACAAGACCTCACAGGATTCCAAATATGCACAAGGATGCGCGAAGCACACATGATGCACAGGGGTGAAGTCCCACTTGCAATGAGGAGTGGATTGAATGCCTGAATCTGGACATGTTTGTGGAGAGTAGCAGAATATCCCTATTTATCTGCCTTCTGAATCTCTGCCCTAAAAGCATCCAGATTCAGGCACTTTTTCAAAGCCTCCTTGCTAGTGGGACTGCGGCCCAGGAAGTCTGTGCAGAACAAGGAATCTAGGCACACGGAAGTGGACTGTCTTCCCTCTTCTTTCCCCCCCCCCCCCCAAAAAAAAAAAAAAAAAGGTAAGAATTTCGACCCCCTCTCCCTCCCCCCGAACAGGAAGCAAGGCCCTTTTGTGGCCTCTTGATGCCAACAGTGCAAAAGCACATAGCATGCCTTGTGCGCTCCTCCTGCAGACACGTGGATGATTCTCCTTTTTTTCTTTAAAAAAAGCCCGGAAATGAAAAACACTTCAATGTGCGCCGTCGAATAGCAGAGCCGAATGGAATGATACGTGTCAGGAAAAAAAAAAAGAAAAAAAAAAAGGAACACAGACACATGGGTCCTCCGAACAACTGCCAGTTTGGGAGTACCATGGAGGACCTCGGGGTGCGGTCCCACTAGCCAAGGGATAAGACGAGATTCTAGACGTGAGACAGGGGTGGAGCTCACAGCAGCCGCCGATCGAGACAGGATCTGACAGTGCCCATATTTTTTGGTGGATATTGTTTTCCGGAACTCATTTTTCGTCTTTTGAAATGCGGGAAACTACGCGGGAGTCACAAAAACAGTTTGAAAATACACTTTGGGCAAAAAAGATTTTTTTTTTTTTTTTTTTTAAGCAACTTGACGCCAGATAGTGCTGGGGGGGACTGGGGTCTCGGTAGCTGGATGCTGTCGCTGGGGATGGGGTCGGCCGGGAGTGCCCTTCTTAGCCCGGATGGCTGCAGCATCTATGTGAGGGATGCCGGCCCCGTTCCCGGCTTTTAACGAAGTTGAAATTTGTTTTAAAAAAAAAAAAATAATAAAAAAAAAAATAATAAAAAATCTAGTGGTGCCCTCGATGTGCTTGGCCGGTGATGCCTTGCCCCGCTGAGGGCCCCACCTAAAAAATTTGTAAGGGACGCTGGGCCCGGTTCCCAGCTTTTATAAAGACTTGTATTCTTTCTCATAAAAAAAAAAAGGAAAAAAAAAAAGAATTTCAAATTCCACTTCGGTGGGCGATGTATACAAGCTCACTGTCTGGTCAGGTAGGGTTCCGTGGGGGTGTGTCATGTTCAGGGAAGGCCTGCACTGTAATTTGATTCTATTTGGATTCGAACTCAGGTCGGTATTTCAACAGTGTGTGGTTGTACCAGCTGGGGCGTGGTCCCACTAGCAAAGAGGATCGGATCGAATGCCCGAATCTGGACGAGATAATGGAGATGTGCAGGAAACCGAGATTGAACTGCTTTTCTGCATCTCTGCTTACAACACATCTAGATTCAGGAGCTCTATCCTATCCTTTTTGCTAGTGGGACCTGGGCCCTGGACTAGGCCCGCTGGTTGAAGTGTAATTTCGAACTGTTTTTTGGGACTGTACTGAAAAGTTACCCCTTCAAAATATTGTGGCCCAGATTATAAGCTGCCTCCCATTGGCTGTCAAAGAAAACAGAAACGCAAAAGTTTCTCAAAGGGAAAGGGGCACTTTTTTTTCTTAAAAAAAAAACAACAACAACTTTCAATTAAAAACTGGGAAACGGGCCCGGCGTCCCTCACATGAATGCCGCAGTCAGTTTGAGCTGAGAAGGGCAATGCCATCCCTAACGGAACGAGGGTTGTGGTTAGGGATGGGGTTGGAAAAGGGGACTTTTTTTTTTCTTTTTTTTTTTTCCCCTATTTTAAGAAGGAGCAACATTTATAAAGCTGTGCCAGGGAATGGGGGCCCGCT